TTCTCAAGTTTCCCAATTGATGTGATGGGATATAACCTCCTTGGTAGCTATTTGTAGAGTTTAAAGGCCGACCATTTTTATGGGATTTTGATCTACATTCCTTTGCCCAATGGAATCCTTTCTGACATCGGGGACAAACGGTTTTTGGAGGATTAATATTATTCCCTAATGTCAAGCCCCTCAAACACTGCCTGTAAGACCATGAACGGAGGCAGCCTCAGCAGGCTCCCCAGAGGGAGGACAGTGAAGGGCCAGGCGTGCACCAAAGCCTTCAGGGGCTTCTGCATTCTCCTATAGTAGGTCTGAATGAACAGCAGCGGGAAGAGCTCAGCTGGCAAGTACTCCAGAGCCGCGATGGCTGAGGCCTGGTCCCTCGGCAGGCTCCTTCCTGCCAGCTCCAGGAGTGTGGGTGGGGTCCGGATGCTCATCTTCAAGGTACTCAGAAAGGCATCCTGCAGAAACGTCTGCGGTGACCGGGTTGGCTGGGGCTTGGATCTCAGACCTGCTGGAGAACCACCGCACTGACTGCAGAGCTGGAGGACTCTTAAGATAGCTTTGATAGCAACGCAAAAACAACAATCTGTGAACCAGACAACTTGCTTAAAATTCCAATTTTTCTGAGATCAGACGAGATGGGGCGTGTTCAGGGTGGTATGGCCATAGACAAAATTCCAATTTTTGATGCAAGGTCAAATATTTGATTCCTGTCTGATAACAAGAATATGAAATCACATGTCCATCGAAGTGTAGGAGAGGATGTTGGTATGTATGCAACTGCCTTTAAGTAGGATGACACCGGTCTAACCAAACTTCTTCATAGGCTGCCTGCATACCAGAAAGATACCATTATAACGTGTCCTAAATGGCTCAGAGAAAATCTCTCTAAATGACGTGGTGATTGGCCCGAGTCAACTAATGAATCTAACTCACGGGATTCCTGGTATAGTGACATGAAAGTTTCTACTCCTTGCTTAAAGCCTGCTGCAAGAGCCGGGTCTCCATACCAGCTAGTGGGTTCAGGTTCTGATTGTGCTGAAAAGTGACCTATTTGGAATCCCCTTATACATGGGAGGTCTTGACAAGGAAAAGAAGTCTTCTTGAATTTCTCTTGTGTAACCTGTGCACGCAAGTGTAAGGTAATAAGTTTTATTTGCAAGGATTCCGAAGTGTAATTGGGAAGATAACAGGTTAAGTCCGTGTAGGAAAGCATCCTGAACATGGATGGTATAATCTTTTTGTGATTTGGCAAAGTCAGTCATGTAGTTTGTGGTAAAACCTACATGTGTGGATATAACGTTCTAGCTACCAGCAAGTCCAGCTCGATCATCAGAGGTGAAAGTCTGAAGATTCCAGTGAAGAAAAAACTCAGATTGTGCAGAGGTATGTGGTGCACCTTCAATACCACATCCAACACTCAGGCCTATCAAATCTCCCTGTAGGAAGACATGACCATGAGTTCTTCCATGCTGCAGAGTGATAATCTCTGCAAAAAAAAAAAAAAAAATCAAATCATGTGGACACATTGTAAATAGAAGTCCTTATGAAAAAGTTGCTCTGGCAAGATCTACCTTATTATGAGATCAAAGCAACAGGGGCAATGTTGGTTGTCACATCTAATAAAGCCCAGAGATGAGCAATACATGGGCAGAACAAAGAAATCCCCAACAACAGACACTTGGACATTTCTTGAAATTCTAATGTATAGGGTCAAATATAAGACTCATCTTACCCTGGCCAGTGTGGCTCAGTGGTCAGAGTGTTGGCTCAGGCACTTAGGGTAATGGGTTTGATTTCAGTCAAGGGACATACCTGGGTTGCAGGTTCCATCTCCTGCACTTGCATCTGTCTTGGTATTTGGTGTCCCTCTCTTATTCTCTCTCTCTCTTTTCCAACTTTTACCATAAGGTATTCCTAGTCTGAAAATGAGGCCTTGATCACTGAATCCTGTGGGACTAAATGCTTTTCTAAAGTATCTAGAAAGGTTTCATCTTGAAGTAGACTTGGGATAGATCTTTTAACTTTTGTGATCAAGTTATCTGATCCTTTCCATGTTGACGCCACCACAGACCAAATAAGAGTTGTTTCTGGTGAAAATTCACTTTTCTATCCCTAGATACCGCAATCATGAGAGAGAAAGAATTTAAAGTATTG